TTTAATATTAACAGTCAGGAAACCAAAGCATACAGCTTTGTAAAACTAACTGCGGTCGTCAACTGCCTCTTTGAATCATACCTAAAATTAATAAGCAGGTGACGATCACTGCACTTTTTTTTGATATCTTTGACAGGATCCTAACCAAGAAAAAGTCGACCAATTATTTATGAATATTATTAAAAGCCGTAAAAGAGTTATTTTCTCTCTCACCAACAACAATTCCTCCGAAACGGCTAGACTGTTCGGCTTGAAAATTTCACACGATCTTCTTAGATTGTATATTAGTCAGGTAGTGATCGAAGGAATAAGTAATTTTGAAAATACTTTTGATTTCTCTAGCCAATCTGAAATGTAAATTTGTTTACAAAAAAACTAATTATTTTTTGGGAAGTCCCCATTTTGTCAAAAATCAAAACTTTGACTAGTCCCTCGATCATTACCTGTACTCATCTATATTAATAATAAATTTTAATGACTTTTGATCTTGAGATCATTTTGAACAGAATGAAATGTCTCTTCAAAAAATAAAAGATAAAATAAAATGCACAAAATAGCACGTTTTTTCTAACTTACAAGCGTGATCTTGAGCTTTTTATGTCATATCAACTATTTAAATTAAATATGGTTTCATAATATCAATTAATATTGCATTAATACGCTATAATAATTTCTCTTCACCAATATTGTAATTAAATTTTTTCGAACGGTGAAGAACCGGAAGTTTCTTAGCAGAACATACAATTTGGTATGGGGAAGCTATCTGATATATTCGAGTGTCTGTGTATTTATATACTTGCCATAAACTTGTCGAAAATACTGAGTACAAGTGTAATTTGCAATATTATTACAAAGCTTTAGGCGCTTAAACATGCCAATTTAACCGTTTGACTCTTCGCTTCGTCTACGATTTAACATTTTACGATACTTGATATACGGTAATGAATTTTGGTTACATTCTTACTTCTTAAGTAACCGTTCAGACAGACACTTAATTTATAAGACTTTTAATTAATAAGAACTTTTTATATTAATTAGTGTGGATAATTAGTTAATTGACTAAATTAAGATGAAGTAGTAAACGTAGGCTTCCAATAAAAATTGTATTGTTTTTTCTTGTATTTGTTATCGCCAGGAAAAAAGTGTAATTCGCAAATAATCAAACGGTACTTTCCCAAATTATTTCAACGAAAAATGCGATTTCTACCTAAAAAAGCTTCTAAATAATTGGCGATTAATCAGCGCCGTATTTTAGAGAGTGCATTAACTACCCTTAAACTGCAAACGGCAACAACAAGAATAACAGGCAGTTAGTGTCATTTTTATTGCATGTATGCTAGACTTAATTTGCATGACGCAAAAGGAAAAAAAGCAAAAAAAAATAAAAAATAATAAATAAAAAAACAACGAAAGGCCCAACGACAACTGCATCAAAATGGGAAATAAAAAAGTGAAACAGAAAAGCGCACAAAAGCGAGAAGTGAGAACAAAAGTGAGCGAGTCACTGCAACGGCAACGGCAACGCCAGCGACAACATCCCAAAACGTAAGCGCCGAAAACGGAGCCCCAAAAACAAATTGAGACTGAAATGCAGGCATGCAGCGTTGAAGGTTGACGCTTGGCGGACGACGACGACAAAATGCAACTGACGGCGGCGACTGTGGTGGTGTGCCAGGCGGGCTTGGCGTACGAGCGAGCAAGCGAACTTGCCGGCATGCCAAGCGTGTTTCAGATGCATTTTTCAGTCTGTTTGTTGTCTACGGTCGTCGTTAGTTGCTTGCAAACGCGTTCGCCGCTCAACACGAACGGGGGAACATAAAAAAGTGATGCGGTACGCAAATACTGTTCTACAAAAAAAAAAAACAAAAAAAATTAAATTTTGTACAAAAAAACTTATTTAAAAAAAAAAAATATTTTAATTTATTTGCTGATAATTTTGCATATGAAGTTTGCCATAGTTTTTGAAATTATTTCGAACAAAGAATTGCATTTAAGCGCTTCAAAACGCGTTCTTGGCAACGGCAACGGTGTGTGTGAATGCAACGCGGCCAGCAACGCGCTGCCGCAATAGCCGTCGAAGTGAGGTTGCCGCCGCGCCGGTGAACTGAAAAAGTGCATTCGCAATGCAATTGGCAAAAGAGTGAACTCAACTCACAAACACCAATAAACTGCGTGCGTGAGTGTGTGCGTCTGTAAGCGCGCTCACACTCCTATTTTCGCAACAAACAAACATGCACATGCAGTTACGAGTACAAAAACAAACAGCGCTTAATGTACGGATGACGGCGCGTCAAGTGTGGTGAGTTTTTTCGCAACGCAAATATTCTGAGCGCTCGTAGCCAAAGCGGTATTTGAGTGCTTTTAATTGAGTGTATTTTATAACTGCTTTTTTGTTTATGATTTTGAGTGCAAATTAATTTTTAAATTGCATATGAGCTTAATAATCATATATTTGGACATTTTTTTGAATTATTTATTTGGAAATTTTTTCTCGCCTTATTAAATTATTTTACTTCACAAGCTTTTCACTCACTAACCGCTTTTAGAGTTTTTATTACATCTTGTTTGTAACCTTGCGTGTCGCCTGCATTCGTTGTTACTTTTGTGCTTGCTCTTACATGTATTTTGTTGGTGTTAGTGTTTTTCGACACATTTTTAAATTCTACGCCAATTTGACGTTGCAGCGGAGAGCGGCGTCAACTCATGGCAGCTAGCGTCAAGCACCAAATAGCCGACATCAGCTGGCATAGACAATCCACCAATGCCACTGCTGGCATTCATTCATTCTTATTTGCTCACCGCAGCGCTCATTATAAGGATTCTCTTCGCCATATTCTATAAACTCTTCGTTTGGCATATGCTTTGAGTTACAACTCGCAAGTGATTTGTTTGGCTCGTTAAACCGTCAGTCACGAGTTAACTCAATGTTTTGTTAGCAGTTGGCTGCCACAATGCATTTCATCCATAGTACAACATTACAAAAACAATGACCGGCTTTTGTTGTGCTACGAAATTTTGTGAAAAAAGTTTTTGGTCTAAGATGGTAGGATTTTCATTTATAGTATTCATAAGTTAACACTCTATTTGAGGTTAGAGTACTTGTGTGGGATTAAGTTGACCTTCAATTATAAGAAATGTTTTAACAAAAAGCCATAGCTCAAAAAAAAATATCTCGTAATAAAAATAACCATTTGACATAATATTTACAACAACTCTTGTAAATAATCCACCAATTTTGCGGTGTTCACGTCAGCTGTCAGCTGTCAACTGTCAATTGAATTTGTCTCTGTATTAAGCTAATTCTTAATGACGCATAAAAATCCAACAAATTACTCTCGAATATATTTCATTATTAATATTTTTATAGATTATTTAGTTTTTTTATTATTTATTAAAAACTAATGACAGTATACATTATCGTGATGAAACAACTAAGAGTTGTTTGAACATAATTCCGGCCCTTTCAAAAGAATAGCTGCAGGTAAATGACGTATATTATTTGTTGACAGTTTAACCCGGCGGAAGGAATTCATAGTATACCAAACCGCGATAATCAACTCACCTTACTTTTTGATCACAGTAATATATGCGAAATTATTACAACACTGTTAAGATTCTTCATAAAAAATGTTCTCTAACTAGTTTTAAGTTCTCAAAATAATGATATGTTAATCACGCCATCAACTCCATTGTTAAAGCGGCAACTGTCGTAAGAAACATAATCTTAGAGGTCCTCTTTCTAACTTTCTCTACCGCAGGAATCACCTCAGCATCATATTTTAATAAATAATCTGTAGATTGTAATTTCTAAATAATATTAATCATATGACATATCGGTATTACTTTAAAAAGTTTAAAATTTTATTACTATTACTAAAAGAAAGCTCAATTTGAATAAAATGCGTGCTTGTTATGTGTTGTTCTTATTATGTCAAACTCACTGACAGTCTTAGTCATATGATTGCTATTTAATGTTTAAAGTTATTTATGATAATACTTCGCAAAACTTAACAGTACTTTAACACATGACAACCGGTTCTTTTTTAAAACATTTTTTGTTATATAGTAGCGATATACTTTCATGGGTATTGCACTATGCTCATTTGAATGATTTTTTCATCATTGAATTTGACATAATGGAAGCCGCAGCCATATCGGCACGGTTTTCATGTTTTGTTTATAACTAAAATAATAAAGCCGCGCAATTAGAATATATTTTCACAAAAATATTTTTGTAGGTATGTACAATAGGGAAGGTGCCTCCCAGTCTAAAAAATTTGTTGTTGGACACCTCTAAGAAAGGCTCTTCAAGTATAAGCTCTTAATTGTACTGTTAAATTAATTTTTAATAGTTATTTGACAGTTGATGTGTCAGGATGTGACTTTCGGCTATTGAAGAATTAAATTTTATTATCGAAACTGTTTTACATCGATATATAAATATTTTATAAAATCTTTACCCTCAACAACTTCGGGCTCTAGTGCTTTCTGCGTGATAAAAAATTATTATATTTTTGTCTACTGTACTTTTCGACCTAATGTTTTTAATTATGTACATATTTATTAGGGTAGAGCGAAAAGAAAATTTTATTTTGGCTGAGGGTAAAATCTGTAAATTAAAAAAAGAAAATTTGTGGACAAAAAAAAAATTTTTTTTTTTAATTTTTTTCTCTTGTGCACTTGTCTCGCATTGGCAAAGCCGCGCATCAAGCATTTGGCCGTCCGACGGTATGAGACATTGAAAGAGGTATCATTATTGAGGCCACAGAGTCTGTCGAAATTCGGGTCAAGCGTAGGCATCCTAAGCGAAGACCAAGTCTCATAAACTATGTAACGGCACTCCAACTGACATCCAAACTCCAAACTGATCTATGCGTGGCTCATTAGCCTACCAGACTAACCTAAACTATCTAAATGGAGACCCGAAACTTACCGTTTCATTTTGTTTGAGCGATACAAGAGAGAAAACTTGGAATTTCTCTAAAAATAACTCTGTTGCGTGATTTTTCGAAGAGGTCATTTTATTATGAACCAAATAGTTCAGCAATATAATTAATTTGGGAATGATAAAATAGGAGTAGGCTGACTACAAAATCGCTAAATACATTTCTTTTGCTTTATTGGATAAATATTAAATACCATACTTGCTAAGCTATACTAAGTGGTGGAGTTTTGGACTTTTTTTAATTTCTAAGAGTGTACTTATGAAAACAGCAACTTAAAATTGTTCACTGTATAATAATTACAAACATTGACAGAACACTCAAAAATCACCACCTGAAACCCCCGAATAGTCCAATTGGTCTATCGACTGCTTAGTACTAATACTTAAAAATATGGTAATAAAACAATGCAAAGCACTGTACTCAGAGTAAACGGATTCTTTGATATGCTCTTAAAACTATCTTTCATGCCAATAACACTATTTGTGAGTATTATGATTCTCCTTATTGCCGTTAACTCTCTAGAAATTTTTCGCAATTTATTTGTGTTGTTGTCATGAATATTCATATGTTATTCGTAGTTATTGTAATGGAACGTGTGCTGGAACGAAGTGCAATACGTGTCCCTTACAAGCGCTAAGAGAATACCCACACACATACACCAGTACATATGACAGCGTGCACACAGGTGAATGAGTGTGCGAGTAACCGAAAGCGAAAAAAATTCGCTACGAACACACATACCTGTACACAGCAGTGTCACCAATACTTATGCGCCACAATGTTCTATTTAGCTGCAATTGTCGTCGTCGTCGTTACCGTCGACGCTGGTGGTGGCGCTCACGTCGCCGTCGCTTTTGCAACAGGAATTTCCTTACCACAGCGCCAACTTCGTCAAGTCTGTGCTGCGCTTAACGTGCCTTTTCGCTGCTTTGCTGTAAAGCTGCGCACCGCTTCGGCTCTCCGCTGGGTTCTAGCCGTTCCGTGTGCTTACATTGAACAACTGCAGACGCGTCGCTAGCAAATTTGCCATGTCAAACACAGACTTATACAATATATGTACATATATGCGTGTGTGTGTGTATGGGTGTTTTTGCTCAATCACTCATTTTACTCGAGCCGTCTGTCTGTGTGGTTGGTGGCTCGAACTCCCGAGTCCATTTGTTGGCTATTGGCTCGTTTGTGCGCTCGCATGGATGCGCGAGTGGGACCCCGGCACAATTTGTTGGCGACTTTTGTTGTAAGTATTATAGAGCTAGACGGAGCGTCCGACATCGGCTCGGTGTCGTCTCGGTGTATGTTTTTGTTGACACAGTGGTCTCCGTCGTTGCGCGCGGTGTTAATGTGCGAAAAGGAAAAATATCAGTCATATATACATACATACCAATATATATATATAAATATATATATATTTACAATACATACAAACAAACATAGTTGCGTTGAAGTAAGTGCATTTGGTTGATGCGCTCCGGTTCCGGCAACCGTCGCGGCAACAACCAGGCTGCCAGCTAATAAACGATACGATTCGAACCGATCCGATGTGCTGTGCTTTTCCTGCTTCTTCGTTCGTTTTTGTAACAAAAAAATTAAAATAAATAAATCGACTGCAACTGCAACTACACTTATGTACAATTGTTGTGCTTGTTCTTCGCCGTCGCCTGCCGCTCCTCCTGCGTCAGCTGTGCGTTATTGGTTTTTTTTTTGTCATTCGCTTCGATTTGATAGTGTGGCAAACGGTCAGCGCTGCTGTCGTCATCGTCCGCTAAAAGGTGCGTCTCTAAGTTATGACAATACCAACAACAAAAACAAGAGCAAATCGTGAATATATATGTATGTACATATATACAAACATATGTATATATGTTATGTTAATTTATTTAAGGCAACAACAAACATTGTGAAATCGTAAAGAAAAAACAACAGCAACAACAAATAAACCAATATTTAAGTTCAATAGTCGTTTAAATGCATGTGGCACCGTTATAAATGCCAAACAATTGCAGTGAATTTGCTTTTAATGCATCTAAATGCACATCAATCAATTTTTAAAGCCAACTGTGATGTCGTGTGCGAAGCTAAGTGTTCTAAATGCCACATCTGTACATACATATGTATACGCACATAATATTTTAGCTTATATGTGTACATACATACAATTTACTTATAATAAAACATAACAAATGCGAGTGAAATATTTCAAAACTCTTGTGAATTATTTAGTTATGTGTGGAGTTAGTGTTATTTAGCAACAACCAGCAAAATTCTCATATTTTATTAATTTGCAACGACTCCGAAAGTGTTTTATAAGACTTACAAGCAAGAAAAAGTATAGCGGTATGATTAAAAGTTAGTCACGCAATTTTTTTTTCACTCCGAAAATACTCCGAATTTTTTCAAACAGTTCGCGTCGTCTAAAACTAGCAACACATACCAAAAAATAGTAAAATTTCAACAAGTATGATGTGCGCCAACGTATATAACGTTGAATTTTAGTGCTTTTAGTTTGAATAAAAAAAACAAGTGTATAATTTGAGAATTGTAAAAAAAAAATCCAAAAGTTAATATCGGAATGCGTGTTTTTGCAAAAGTGTAAATAGAATTTTGGTTAATATAATAAATTATAAATATAAAAATTATATAAGTTACATACACTGTAATGTAATATAAACCATTTTTACTCACTCCGAAAAATTCGGAGTAATTTCGGAGTATAAAAACGTTTCATCAAGATGTTTAAACATTGAATTTAAAGAACTTGATGTTAAAATTAAATGTGAAATCATTAGAGTTCATGCCATGAAAACAATTTTCCGGCAATAAAATGTTGATACTTTCGTCTTCTTTTTCATAACTTTTACAAATATAATTTGCAAATAAAATTTCATAACATATACACTTTAGAGTAAAAGTAGCGTTTCGTTGATATCTTAAAATCTTATGTAAAGATAGCAAGCCGAATGATAGTGCATAGTTATTGCGGCAAGTTGTTTTCCTAATTGATATTTAAGAATTTAATACAAGTATTCTGTACTTTTCATTTTTAAAAGAAGTTAAAATTTTTGAATATCTTAATTTCTTAAGAAATATGAATCATATGCACTTACATATGTTTTAACACATATATATACATACTTCTGTTGCTGCCGGCACGTGTACCAACCGGCAATAAAATTAATCTTAACACATACATACATCTATGGTTATATGACCAGCGCATCAGTGAAGTGGAAAATTCCAATGCCCAATAGCCAGAAGAATTGCACCATCCTATAGCCTTGCAGCTCAACTCATCTATATTAGCCATTGTTGAATTAGCCATGAACTTTTAGCACCGTTGCCAGTCAATTTCAAGGCTCCTTAAATTTTTTTCCACCGATATTTTGACTAAGTTTTATCTCTACCATAAGTCTACGCGAACAATGGGCTGCCTTTTGGAGCACAGAAAACATAATTTCGCCATTTTGGTTTCTGAATTTTTGCCACTAAATATGCGCGCTAGTTATCATTGCCGCTGAAAGCTATACAAATTTCAATGGCGTGAAAAATGTGGCCTGCAAATTGCCTTGAAAATCGGTTAGAATCGTGTTCGCCATAACCACAACAACAAGAGGCAACAACAAAAGCAACACCAATAACAGAAAATTGTAGAGCACAAAAAATAGACAGCTAGTGGAAAAAATAGCGAAAAGACAGCGCGCACGAACAGACACACACACACAAACATTGGCATGCAAAATATATTTAGAATTCGCTGCGAAAATTGCACAAAAATTGCATTTATGAAATTTGACATTGAATTTTTTTAACGAATTAATTTTTTCGCTTTAGTTTTTTTTGTTACATTCGGCTTTGCTCGTGTGCCGATTGTTTTACAGCAGTGTTCGTGCTTTGAAAAAATTCTATAAAAAATACAACAAATATATTATATATAATTGCAGCTACAAAAAATGCATTTTTCGTAAATAATGACAGTAACAGCAACAACAACAGCAGAAGTAAAAAATCGCTCATATTCGCTCACTCATTTAATTGCATCGCTCTGCATTTGAGTGTATATATGTAAGTATATGTGTGGGTGTGTGTGTGTGTGCGTGTATTGGTGCATTGCTGTGGGTTGCAATGGCGCTCAACGCAACACTCGACGCGTTACTGGGTGGCGAGCTCAAGGGTGTGCGAGCGTTCATGTATTTGTATGTGTGTATGTGCATATCTTCAAGAGTGTGAGTGCACTTTGCGAGCGTTCTTTGGAGCGTTGACAATTCTATGAAAATGCGCTCAGTCTCTCTACCGGCTGGTGGTGGCAGCGCTATGTCAAAAGTTTTTGAATTTGCTTTAGCTAACTGTCTTTTGAGACGCTGACTTTGCACCTCACCACCGCAGCTTGACTAAATATATCGGCGCTGGTCTCTAATGCCAAATGCCGGTAAAATTTTAATGACAGCCTTGCCAGATGTTCGAATTGTTTTTTTTTTCATTTGCTTTTGTGTGAGCTTTTGAGCTATTAAATTTGAAAACTTCACTTAATTAAGAAATAAAAAATTTTGGTACAAAATAATTGAAAATATAATAAAATTTTTAGTACAAAATTAATTTATTTTTTTTACAAATATATTTTAAAATATTAAATTTTTTATCTTAAGTTTTTGTGTAACTAAAAAAAGTTGTATGTAAATCCCACAAAATCGCATCACTCATTAACATAAGCACCATTGCAGGTCTCAAAATATTTTTTCCTTATTCCTTCATACTCTGCTTCGCATTGTAGGAAGCCATATGAAAGCCACTGGTGCGCCATGTTCTCTAGCTGTTCGTGTATTCTTGTCAATTGCTTTTTTAATTTTTCTTTCTTGTTGTTTTTACTTTTGGAGTTGTTTTTTTTTTTGTCTTTTTTGGCTTTGTTTTGTCTTTCTCCTGGTGGTTAAGTTGGACAATTTGCTCATATGCACGTGTGTGTGCTTGTGTGTGCTCTCCCCTGCTAATATGCTTGTGCGAAAATATTAAATAACAGAAAACAAAGGCTGACATATCAGTTCCGGCTTGGGATATGCTTAAGTTATAGGGTTAATGCCTTCGCCAGACTTGCTTAAATCACTTAAGTTTGGGTTAGGTCAGGTTGTTGAAATTTATTTTTTGACTGCATTTGCAATTTACATTCAAGTAGCTCGAAGGGACAGCAAAGGAAATTATTTGCTGTTGTTGTATATTTCTTTATTTTAGCCTTACTTCAAGTAAAGCTATTCTAGCCAGGTGTTTGGAGAAAATACTGAAGCTCTTTTATGACTTGAATTATGTAATTTGGAGTTTATATTTGAATTGCATAATATCAATATAGAGCCCATAAACATTTAGTATTTAAAATATCTGTTAAATTTTATTTAGCAAAAGTTCATAGTTTTTTAATGATATTTTGTTCAACAGATTTTATAATAAATATTTACATGCGTGAAAGCTATAATTTCTATAATTTCGATTGACAGCCTCTACTTGTTTCACCAGAATGACAATTTTCCGAGCTAAAATTGCCATAAAATGAAATTACCATACATCCATATTCAGTGCTTTGACTACGACTATCATTTAATCTGACCTAGTGGAAACCATGCATAATAAAGAAACGGTACAAATTAAGAAAACAAGAAAGAAACGTTAGCTTCGGTTGGGTCGAAGCTATGATACCCTTCACAAATAAAAATATTTTTTCATACAAGAACTTGATTTTGATCGGTCAGTTTATATGGCAGCTATATGCTATAGTGGTCCGATCTGAAAACAGTATATTAGAAGATTGTAGCGTTGACTTGGAGAATAATCCATGTCAAATTTCGTGAGGACGTCTTGTCAAAAAAAAAGTTTTCCATACAAAGAATTGATTTTGATCGGTCTGTTAGTATGGTAGCTATTTCTTACTAACCTAAACTTTCAAACGGTGACAAATTTTACTGAAAAGGCTCATAAATATGACACGACTGTAGCCAAATAAAAGGTTGCCCATATAAAATTGTTAGAAAATAGTAAATTAGTGAAATATCTGAAAATCTCTGCCAACAATTATTAAAAGTTATTTCGCCTCTTAGCTAAGCGCTTCTCTATATCATTGTTAATTATATGTGATCAAAAGGTATGGTAAATTTTTTTATAAAATGTAAAGTCTTTATTTATTTTTCCAAACCAATTTCATTTCCTTTAAAGTAATCCTCGTCCGATTAAACGTACTTTTGCCAAAGCTTTTTCCAGTCTTCGTAATAGTTTCTTTTTTCTGGTACCGGACGAATTTTTTAAATAGTCAGAAGTCGCATGGAGCTAAATCAAGCGAATGAGTTTTTGCGGAACGCTATGAGTCAAGTTTTTGGCAAAAAAGTCGCGAAGAACCAATGACAGTATGACATGGTGCATTATCGTGATGAAGAACGGCCCTTTCAGACGCATTACCCTTAAATAATATTCTTTGTTGATAGTTTGGCACGGCGGAAGGTATTCATAGTGCACCACACGGCAACAATCAACTCAGCTTACTTTTTGATCACAGTATTATATGATATATTCATTACAATTTTTAAAAGCGGCGCTTCAATTTAAGTTACTTTTGCATAAAAATAGTTAAGGCTGTAGTATATATAACATAAAGCTTCTATTGCTGATACAGTCTTCTACTTGTATTAATATGACAAGCATGAAACTTGAGATAGTTTCTAAGTCGATAAGAATTGTTTTTTTTATAAATAAAGTTAAACTATTATCTGAAAATGAATCTAATAAATAAGTAGTTTAATAATTGATTAAGTACTGATCATTATTTCCTGATATTTTCTAAACCCATGGCAACATAATCATATGGACATAATAAAACTAAGCTGACGTCATCGAACTGACAGATAACCTCTCTTATCTCGCTAATGTACGTGAGAGGTTAATTAGTGCGTTATTGTCGCTTAGAGTAAATATTGGCTGGGAAGAAATCAATATTCATGTCTCTCAAGCAAAACTTATGCAAGTTGACAAATTCCTAAGACTTAGCAATTAGCTACAGAAAATAAATAATATATAAAATACAAATTATATGCATATAATATTATATAATGTAATTATCGTAGAGGATATAACTAAATATACACTATGTACATATATGTTTTTTCGAAATTTCAACTGCCATCTTTTCTTTATAAATTAATGTTATTGCAACAATTTTAATCGTTTTTAATTTCAAATTATGTGGCAACCTCATAACTTTACATATTAGTACGAATTTACTAAAAATTATTCGTTTACTTCCTTTATTGCTTTTTACTATGTATGTATGCATATAAAACATTTATTTATAAATTGAGTAAGGCTGGCAACTCTTATTACTTATTTATTATACTTAAACAGAAGTCTTTAAATACAATTTTTTGAAATCGATATAAAATATTTAAATGATTAATATTGTTTTGAAGGATTTCATATTTCAAAGCAGGTGGCAACCCGTCGAAAAAAAAACGTTTTTGTAATAATGTTTGTTTAAATAGTATTGTAATATAATTTTATGAAAATTTTGTTGTTGTTTTAAAAAGATTAAAAATCCAAACTGAAGTTTTTCGATAATAAGATTGAATAATAATGAGAAATCGTAAGAATATTTATTCAAAAGCAAATTCGCATGTATATGTACGTATGGCATATATTAATATAAATATATGTTATACAATGTAAATAGACTCTAGCATTTATTTCTTCATACTGCACTTAGCTAAGCATTAGGGTGGTCCTTAAATAATAAAATAACTTATTTTTTTTTAACTATGTGGAAATCTGTTAACGGTAAAATTTATGAGAGTCAATTTAACATGCACTTGAAAATAAGTAAGTTATGGGAAGAAAATTCATATACGGAGTAGTAGCATCGATTATAGATATTATTTGTAATGTTCGAGTAAAATAAATGTATTTCTTAATTTATGTATTGTACTTTGTATCTAAGGCATTACTTAGAGGCTTGCAAATGGGACCGATACTTCTGTAATGGTATCGATTTCACCATTTTGAGTCTACAGAGCACTTTGAGACCAAATTTATTCTTTAAGTAGCTTCAAGAGCAATTAGAGTTTAGGGGTAACACTTTTGACCATATGGTATTGAAGTATAGCTTAAAGATTCCGAAATATTGTATAAAAATACTCATTACATATTTTGGTACCACCTTAATATGTATTTATATTGAGTCCTCTATGAAAGAAAGATGAAATAAAGATGATGATGAAAAAGTGTTTTTACGGGGAGTTCTTCTTTTCTAGCTTAATTGGAAGAGAACCTTCGACGAAAGTCATCGTCTTTTGGAAGAAGTTTATGGTGAACATGCTCTAGCTGAGCGAACGTGCCTCATATTGCAAGACCAGTTAAAAACTGTTTGGAAAACAGCGGTTGGAAGTTTTGCCTTACCTGCCTTATTGCCCAGACCTTGCGTCGTCTGACTACCATTTGTTCCGGTCGATACGGTACGACCTCACTGAAATAATGTTCACAACAGAACAGGAAAAAACACTAGAAAATATACTTTAAGATCCAATCTTGTATAAGACTCTTTTTCATGCCCTAAACAGGGTATATTAAGTTTACCACGAAGATTGTAACACCCAAAAGGAAAAGGAAACTTTAGAGACCCTAAAACTATGTATATGGTATATAGTAATCCCTCAGTTTTTGAGATATCGACCTGAAATTTCGCGCACTTCCTTTTCTTACCCAGACGCTGCTTATTTGTCGGAATCACCGATATTAGACCACTATAGCATTTAGCTGCCATATAAACTGAACAATCGGAATCAAGTGCTTGTATGGAAAGCTTTGTCATTAGACAAGGTATCTTCACGAAATTTGGCAGAGGTTACTATTCAATAAAACGCTACAATATCTGAAGAAATTGTTTAGATCGGACGGCTATAGCATACAGCTGCCATATAAGCTGATCAATCAAAATTAAGACATAGATCTTTTTATACTCCTTTATGCTATAAAAAATGCACCTGTTAAGGCAGTGAGCTGAGGTTTATGTTTTTTTCTTGTTTTTAAATTGAAATAAAATTAAAATTAAATATTATTTTATTTTATTAAAACATATTTCAAAAAAAAATTGTCTATAAAAATACTTTTCTAAAACTCATAATTTTTTTAATTACACTGTAATCTACACAAAATTTCAAGCCAGTATCAATAATAAGAATAAGAATAAGAAGAAGAAGAAGGGAGGTGTTGAGCTGCAAATAATTACAGCTGCTAGAGTTTGACACGTTAACGCAAGCAACGGTGCAACTGTACAGATGGCTTTTGTTATTTTCATGCGATTATTTCGATTGTTGTATTATTGTTTATTACTATTGTGCGACAGACTTTTAATTAATTCAATTTTAATACGCAAAAAAATTAAGAAACTATTAGTTGTGCGGCTTATCGCCCGGCGTTGACGTTGGCGTCGGCGTTAACGACGAGACTCGAGATTTTTCGAACTTACGACGGGAAGGCCTTACAGATAAACGCTTAGTAAGCGTGGGCACGTATGACCATATATGTACATATGTATGTATATATGTGAGTGTGTGTGCGTTCGCCTATGATTTGTTGAATTCTTTGATTTTAATTATGTTAATATTTCACTCACTTGCTTCGCAATTTATTAAAGTGACAGCATGAAAAATGCATTTCCTATTAATTCCAGTGAAAAGTCAAACTGACAGCGAGCGGTGAAGATGACGGTGGCGATGGCGGCTGCTGCAACCGCGAATTTCTTTGTCTGCGAGTTGCGAGTTGAGACTTTTTAAGTTTTTTGCTATTTCTTGTTGTTGTTGGTATTTTTGTTATTGTTGTTGTTGTTGTAATTACTTCTAACTGTTATTATTGTTGTTATTATTATTTTAATGTTGTTGTCTTCATACGTTTTGTCGTTGTTATTCTTTTTATGTTGTTGCCTTTATTAGTTATGTTTTTGTTGTTGTTAGTTTTCATGTTTTTATTTTGTTGTTGTTTTTCGAATTACTGCCATAATATAGTAAATAGTTTCGAAAAGTTTTCATCTCCGATCTTGAAGCAAATCGCTGCTGCGCAGTTGTCTCACCTCTTCGTCGGCCGCCTCGACCAACCGAACGACCGACTAACTGCATATACCGATGATAGACAAGCTGACGGATTGTCGTGACAGTGTCCTTGTTGCCGGCTGCTACTCATGTTCGTTGTCATTGTCAACGTTATATGTTGTTGTTGCCATCGCTATTGTCAACTAAACAGTTGGAAAATTTCTACTTTTTATTATACATTTATCCACTCGCACACACACACACACATATACAAACAGAATGAAGTCAACGCATTTTTGTGCTTATGAAACCTGACAATTTCCTCATTTCTTCTTTCTTACAGCTCAGCCGGCAAGCATCTTGCAACCGCAGTAGCAGCAGCAGCAGCAGCAGCAGTTTATTTGACATTTTTCACGTAAACAAAATACAAAAACAATAAGAACAAACAATCAGAATGTGAATCGTCAGGAATTTTAATGCATGAAACAGTTGACATTTTTTGTAAAAATTTATGTGAGAACATCAAAAGGTGCTGTGAGTGTGGCGGCGAATGTGCGCCGTGAACGCCAATTTCAATTGCCTCAAATCAGCAAAAACACCTCGTTCGCGCAGACACGCATCCTGCTTGGCGGCGTTGTAATGTAACACACACTTATACACATGTGCAGATTATTTTTTTTAATTTACCGCAAAATACTGATACAACGGGGCCATTTGAAGGCCACACGACCGCTGGTGGAAACGCCTGTGAAATTGTGAATTCAAAGTGATCTTAAAAGCATTTAAATGTAGTGAAACCCAATTAGACAGTTCCGCGTGTGAAACAACAACAATGTGACATATACTTATTAAGATTAAAACATTGAAAAACAAAACCGTTGCGAAACTATTGTTTTATAAATAGTTTCATATAAGGTCTACTTAGAATATTCCGCCTCAGCTTTTCGGTGAGTTACAATAAATATGTTATATAATATATAACTAAGCGTTACATAGGTATATTATTCTCTGAAAGCTCGTTAAGCTTTTCAAGTTGATAGCAACGTTTGCGGAGCTTTTTAAGCTAATAGCAGGTTATGAAAGCTTCAGAGTTTTTACATAATGAGCTTTCATTGTAGAATTACTTAAGAAGTATTTCAAGAATATATCATCAGCACATTGTCGTCTTAGGACTATTACATAATGGCGCTTAAAATAAAGAAATGAACACAATACACAATACTTAGATAATTACTTTTATGGTTTCTAAACTACATTGAAACTTTCTATTTATTAGTCTCAAATATAAGTTGAATCTAAGCTCTTAAGAACTTGGACCAGTCCAGAGCCTTCAAAAAAGACCTAACATTGACAATTTATTATGAAAGTAAAGAAGAAGTTACTGAATTTTCTCCTTTTGACTTTATTCGAAATTAATGAAGAAGTAAATAATTTTTTTCATTCTGGCTTTATTAAAGATGAATTTGAAGTTATAAAAAATTCTAATTTTATTTACCTAAAATTGGTTGCTTGCAAAATTCCGGCTACCGGGACAATGTGAGATATTAATTTTCTCACGAGAACCTTTGCGGGACTGTAATTGAAGCATCTCTTGCTATATGAAACATGATAAAAAACAGTTTCCATAAAAAGAAAACCGGTTTTTCGAAAATCTTAGACTAACCCAGCTCCTTTAAGTTGGATATATTTTCAAAATACTATAAAAACTATGTTCCATATAAAAATGTAATATTTTTGTAGACCTTACACAATAAGCAAGGAAAATGATAATTTAGAACTGCCTCTAATTATATGAGAAAATGGACGAAAATCTGCATGCCCGCTCTATAAGAATAAGCATAGATTACACACTATTTTTTCCCCTAAATCAGTCGAAGTTAAATTATCCATCTAAACCATATTTACCTCAGACCAAAGTTTATTAACTCACAATAATTTCTTCAAAACTATTTTGCATTGACTAATCAACTACAACAAAAAACGTGTACATATCAATTTGGTAGCAGATCTTTCTATATTATTCAATGCAAAGTAAACGAAGCGTTAAAACATTAGCCTGTTCTTTATATAGTATGAACCGATTTCATTAATATTTGGAAAATAGTGAATTTAAAAGAATTGCATTTTTGTAAAATAAAGTTTCTGTTGAAATTTTTTCTATCATTTCAAATATGTACTTTGTTTGGAGCTCTTTAACCAAAAATTAAAAAAAAAAAGTTGCCTACATTTCGGCGCAATTTCCATATTCATAATTCATAATTTGTAACGGTATAAAAATCTACCTATATCTGCCCACCGATAAGCTAAACGGTTGTTTTGGGTTTAACAGAAACAACCAAAAACACATAGTTAATTAAATTAATTAATAAAAGTCAAGGAAAAAGAAATCGTTTTTTTACAAATAGACGGTTTTAGTAATCTGTTCTTGCGTTGTATAATTGCGTTGTATAGCCTTAGGAGGATATAATTTCATGCTAAAAAAATCTCTCAGGTCGTGGTCGAATCACATGTTTGTTTAAATAGTGTTGTAATATAATTTGACGAAAATTTTGTTGTTGTTTTAAAAAGATTAAAAATGCATTTTTCGATAATAAGATTAAATAATAATAAGAAAGGCGTGTACTAATGTTGGCCAAGCAAGGATTGACATCAGGAATCTTTATGCTATAGTTTTGGTAGGAATGCGAAGGCATCTACCAATGGGACCGTCTGAAGAAAGCATACGCCAAGAAACGGTCAAGAATCAAAGACGAGATGAAGAATTGTGTACCATTAGAACAACGTCAGGCCAGCACGTCGGTAGTGACTAACCAGAAGCTCCGGCTGCTTGGTTGTGATGTTCTTATTTATATGTTTGTTTTTGTCTATCGCAAATGATGGTGAAAAATTCGTTTTCGAGAAGCTTGTGAAAATTGACTGTCAAAATTTTTGCTAATAGAAATGAGGATTTCTATGAGAGTGGACTTATAAAATTACCTTACGAAACTTTAAATTTAATACCAAAATAATGAATTTCTTTTCCTAGATCCACTACGAGTATTTTAAATATAATTATACATACACATAAACATGTGTAGAAGAGTTTAAGCACACAACAATGTCGCTGACTGCTAAAATTCATGCATTACAACACCTCGTTTCACAGCCTGCGGCTCTTCGAGTAAAAGGATTAACTATTATTGTCAAAATGAAAAGAGTAGCTGAAGTCAAACGAAGTGTTGGTGTTGTAATGTGAGTGTCAGCTAAAGCGCTACCGGCAAACATAACTTGTGCAACACGCTGAATCGATATACTTAACTTGACAATGTTATACAAGTGCGCTTGCATAAGCAAATGTTTGTTGCTGCAATAGTTGACAAAAGGAAAAACGTTTATTCCGTAAAGTAATCGAAGAATTGCAGGCTTTTTAAAGAATAATCAGCTTTTCAATTTATATATTGTTGAAGCTGGCACGCAATTCTAAGAAAATTTATATACATATTTTTAAATGCGGTGGCCATATGCATCGGTTATTTGATTAATAAATATTAATTATGCTAGTGGTTCTGCCTTTAAATGAACTTTCTTCGAAATCAAGCTTGATGATTAAACGATTTCAAAACCAAATATTTGCGCAACAACAAAGGACGCGTTGAAACCGGTAAACAGGCTTATTGCCCTCTCCATATTCTCAATTAAAGGTTTTAATATGCTCACTTGATGTCATAAACTAAACTTTACTCATAAACTCTAAATTTACTTCACTTTTAACAGGCTTCAAACACGACCTTTTTGGTGGCCTAGGTTGAGATGGTCTTCAGTGCTTTTAGCGAATTTTGGTTTTTTTGATTTCCGCTCATTTCTTCACCTCTTCTCGACGCGCTTTTTTGAAAACGAGTCCAGCTTTGACACTCTTCCCACTCAAATCATTAACCAAAATGTGTTGATACGTTCCATAAGAGATTTTGAGATTCGCTGCTATCTCTCTGATGCCAACACGACGATTTTCAAACATATTTTCTTTAACTTTTTCGATATAATCGACATTAAAAGAGGTGAATGTGAAAATATGTGGTATTACTTGAAGAAAAATTCCGTTCATCTGACAGTAGGGATACATAAGTGAACGGAAGCAGATTTTTGCTCATCTCGAGGCAATTAATTTAATAGTATTTCTCAAATAGAGTTGGGAACGTTTTCTGCCCTTCTGCCAACAATAATCTTTTTCAGATTTTAACAGAAAAAAATCGCTACCTTCGACTGCACACAAGAATTTGATTTTGATCTTTCAGTTTGTATGGCAGTTATATGCTATATGCGATCCGATATCGGCAATTCCGATAAATAAGCAGTTCTTGGTGAGAATAGAATTTGTGCCAAATTTCAATCGATATCTCAAAAACTAAGGAGCTAGTTTGCTTTTATAAATATAATAAATTTATAAATACAGGCAGACCCTTTTCACGACATCAGAAGACCTTACTATTGGTATTTTCTTTCCACCTGAAATTTGTAGCCAACTCGACGTATTGAATGCTATGAGTTATCTGTGTATATTATTTTTTAACTAAATTTAAACTAGATTCGAAAATTAATTACCAGAAACAGGGTGAATTTCGTATTTCCGATAAACATTGAGACCGTTTAGGAAAAGCGAAGAAGCACTTGGAAGTCCAAGTCAAACATCCGAGCGTGTTTTAGCCAAAAAAAAATTCACATAAGTTCATTAGATCCCTTCAAACTTATAGATGCATGAGGTGCTTCAGTTCAATCAGAACAGAAGCTAAACCAAGTATTTAACACAGCCATATATTTTGGGCGTATATATATATATATTAATATGTACATACATATTAGGGTGGAACGAAAAAAATTTTTTTTTTGCTTAGCCCAAGGGTAAGATCTGTATAATTATTTAAATATTATAAAATTTTGTCAAACAATTTTCTTAACATCAGCCTCAGTTTTAAAGTAAATTTTGAGTTTAAATTTTGTTTGGACAAGAAAGAATTATTTTTGGTTTAAACTCTTTACATTTATATAAAAATTATAGAATGTGACGGTTTTTGACTCAAACTTTATTTTAACGATTAAGAAAACCATGTTTAAGACTTTTTTTAAAAACTGCAATAATGACCACAAAATTTTTTTTTAAGTTGAAAACTTTTAATTGGCCAGAGAGAGGATTTTCCACAGCTTCTAGAACACTTATCAAAAATTTTTTACGAAATAGCCTCTAGATGTTAAAAAATTTTTGTTTTGTCCAAAAATTTTCTTTTTTGATAAACTACAAATTTTTCCCCAGGCTAAGCAACCAAAAAAAATTTTTTTTTTCGCTACACCCTAATACATATGACATATGTTTGGTATGTGTACTATGAGTAAGTTAGTAGCTTACAAAAAATAAACTAGATCTGCATGAGTCAGCTTAGACAAAGCCGTTCGCGACGATCACTTCATAGTCCGTCCTGCGATCAGCGAGTCGCATTAAAGCCGTGAGACATTTTAATAGAGCGCTTGTCGTCAACTATTTCTCCGATTGCAAAGTATGCGTAAGTAACTGTGAGTGTGTGTGTGTGGCTGACATGAGTCAACACTGTATTTCTTTGTTCGACGTTAAAGCGAATTTTCATGCAAACTTAAAAGGCAATAAGAAAGTTGATTCGGAAATAAATACACACACGACAAAAATATTGAATTTATTAATTATAAATAAATAAATAGTTTGAGTAATTAAAAGAGATTTCATCAATTTAGCAAATATCGTCGGCGCTGCACGAAATCAAATTAAGTTGCATGTAAAGTATTTTTATTATTTTTTTTTTTTGTGTTTTGGTCATTTCAATTACAGCACCCTGTATTGCACACAAAGGCTTTAGTATACCGTTACATTGTTTATCAGACAATTCACCGCTAAAAAAATAGCAAAACAAACCGACAAATGGCAGCAAAAATTAAATCAAAGCGA